TGCAATATATTGTAGTTTTTTTATTTATCCTGATTGCATTTTTACAGTTGCGTGTTGATGATAAAATTATTTTACATTAAGGCTTAATGTCAATTATTATTATTTGTCCACTTTTGTTACTGTTTAGAGTTAAGGATAAGACTATTTTATATTGCAGTATAATGCCATTTTCGTTAGAGTGTCTGCTTTTTTAACCTTTTGTGTTAATGATAAAAAACATTTTACATTGCAGCATGAAGTCAGTTTTTATAACTTGTCCATTTTTGTAATTGTTGAGAGTTAGTGGTAAAAAACATTTTACATTGCTGTATAATAGCAAATTTTATAGCTTGTCTGCTTTTTTATTGTTGAGTGCTAACGATGAAAATTTCCCCATTTATGTATGCATTTTCTACTGTTGTGTTAGCTGAAAAACATTTTACATTACTGCATAATGCCAGTTTTTATTACTTGTCCACTGTTGTTACTGTTGAGGATTACTTATAAAATACATTTTACAGTGCAATGCTAGTTTTTTTTTTTTTTTAATCCTGACTGCTTTTTTATAGTTGAGTGTTTATAATAAAAAAATTACATTGCCGTGTAATAACAGTTTTATTACTTGTCACCTGTTGTTACTGTTGAGTTATTAAATATGAAAACATTTGACATTGCTGTATAATGCCTGATTTTATTACTTGTCAACTTTTGGTGCTGTTGAGTGTCAACGGTAAAAACATTGTACATTGCTGTACAATGAAAATTCTATATCTTGTCTGCTTATTTATTGTTGTGTGTTAACTAGAAAAACATTTTACATTGCTGTATAATGCCTGGTTTTATTACTTGTCAACTTTTGATGCTGTTGAGTGTCAACGGTAATAACATTTTACATTGCTGTACAATGAGAGTTTTATATCTTGTCTGCTTATTTATTGTTGTGTGTTAAATATAAAAACATTTTACATTGCTGTGTAATGCTAGTTTTCATTATTCGTTTGCTTTTTTACTGTCTAATTTTAACGATAAATGCATTTTACATTGCAGAATAATGCCAGTTTTTATTCCTTTCCCACTATTGTTAATGACGAGATTTAGCAATAAAAGCATTTTACCAGTCTGCATAATGCCAGTTTTTATAACTCGTCTGATTTTTTACTGTTGCGTTTTGACGCCAAAATCATTTCACGTTCGTGTAGAATACCAGTTTCTCTGAATAATATAGACATATTGTGTTTATTCATTTTGATTCTGATCTTGGAAGATATCAAAAGTACTTCGGTTAAAATAAACTACGGCGCCTACTTCATGTATTTCTTTTTAATATCAGGAAATTGATTTCGACGACATTAAAAAGATCAGTATAAAATAAACAAAGCCAATATGTCTATATTGTTCAATGAAGCATGCTTGAATGATCATATGCTGCCTATATATATATATATATATATATATATATATATATATATATATATATAACTTTCCTTAATGATACCTAGACTTTGAGAATTTCAAAGCTATGCTTTTGGCAACAAGGCCTCGTCAGTTTAAGTTTGAATGTAACCGTAAGTTCTCTGCTAACAGTTTCTTCTCTTGCACTTCTCGCTTGTGGAACTCTCTTCCGGTTTCTTGCTTTTCAGTCCGCTTTGATCTTCAAATGTAATGTCCCTTTATTTTAATATGTTCTTGATTCCTCTTGTTTTTCACGCTTCTTAATGTCTTTGTTCTTTCTCATTATTTCACACTCAGTAACCTCTTGTGTTTTAGTGGCTTTATTTCTTTCTCGGAGTGAAATGATTAATATCTATCTATCTATCTATCTATCTATCTATCTATCTATCTATCTATCTATCTATCTCGCTCTGTTCATATCTATCTATCTATCTATCTATCTATCTATCTATCTATCTATCTATCTATCTATCTATCTATCTCGCTCTCTTCATATCTATCTATCTATCTATCTCGCTCTGTTCATATCTGTCTGTCTGTCAATCTATCTATCTATCTATCTATCTATCTATCTATCTATCTATCTCGCTCTCTTCATATCTATCTATCTATCTATCTCGCTCTGTTCATATCTGTCTGTCTGTCAATCTATCTATCTATCTATTCATATCTATCTATCTATCTATCTATCTATCTATCTCTTTGCCTCTCTTACATCTATCTATCTATCTATCTATCTCTGTTCATATCTGTCTGTCTGTCAATCTATCTATCTATCTATCTATCTATCTATCTATCTATCTATCTATCTATCTATCTATCTCGCTCTCTTCATATCTATCTATCTATCTATCTCGCTCTGTTCATATCTGTCTGTCTGTCAATCTATCTATCTATCTATCTATCTATCTATCTCTGTTCATATCTGTCTGTCTGTCAATCTATCTATCTATCTATCTATCTATCTATCTATCTATCTATATATATATATATATATATATGCATGTTTGGTTCAATATGACAGACATGGAATATTTTGTATGGTTTTCATTCAGTTTTTCATGTGACTTTACAATATTTAGGTAAAGTGTGGGGAGAATAGTCCATAATGTTTGTTAAATTGTGTGATCCAGTTAATACTTTGGCCATTTTAAAGAATGTAATTTTTTTGGCAACACGGAGTGTTACTATATTCAACACCGTTCTAAAATCTACTATTAAGGGAAGGTCATTTGTATTTGTTTTATTAGAATTACTTCTAATTTCTTCTTTGGTAACTACCTTCAAACATTGAATTTTTGGTAAATATTCCTTGCTCATCATATTTAACGGAACTGTTATAAAAGAAGTATGCCTGACCAAACACATCCACACATGCCCACTGGGAGGCAAGTAGTGGATAGCGGCTAGGATTGAGAAATCGGAGAGCCGAGTTCGAATTCCAGTCGTGCTAATACCCTTGGAAAAGATATTAATTCTCTTCTTCTCCCTCCATAGAGAAACCAGTCCTTCCTGCTATTTACCCATACCATGAAGAACTGGGTTCTATAGCCTTGGATGACAACTGGTCGAGGAGGACAACTCTGAATTCAAAACTTGCATTCGGCCTTTGAAAAAGTGTAACTGGTTTTGCACAAAGCCTTCACCACTATAATCAAATCATATGTGCTAGTGTCTGGGTTGTCGGTTCCTAGGAACTGAGCTGCTTGACCCTCATATGTTGAATACGATGGGAGAGGTCATTATATATATATATATATATATATATATATATATATATATATATATATATAACGGAGGTGGAAACTGGTAAACAATCTTGCAGAAATTGTTTTATATTCCGATTACTTTCAACCATCTTTGTCGTTTTAAAGGAAAGAATAGAGAATTTTCCGTAGTAGCCAATATAAGGTTTACCTTGTCCATTTTCTATTCAAAACTTCCAGTCGTCGATTGATTTTGTTTAGTGGCCTTCTCACCTCTATGTGTTGTGTCGAAATCTGAATCTTTTAACACAATTTTATGGCTTCAATGAAATATATTGTATGCCTTCAACAACAGACGAAATGTATTGTTGCTCTTTTTCCTTGAAAAATATATTTTTGGTAATTTTACTATAAATATGTATTGTTGGTTGGTAGAAATTGTTTATCGACTTATCAACACCTCTATGGCTTATTTAATTCCGAAATATGAATATAGTTTATTCTTTTCAGTTTGCAGGTATATATATATATATATATATATATATATATATATATATATATATATATATATATATATATATATATATATATATATATATATATATATATATATTACATTGACATTTTATATAGTGGGCACATGTATTTGAGTAGATATCACGTTTTTTTTTTATATATTTATATATATATATATATATATATATATATATATATATATATATATATATATATATATATATATATATATATATATATATATATATATATATATATATATATATATACATTGATTGACATTTTATATAGTGGGCACATGTATTTGAGTAGATATCACGTTTTTTTAAACAGTGTATTTGATACCCACCTAGGCAATCAAAAGTTTGAAAATGGGAGATTTCTGCTTTCGAAAAAGTTTATGTTTGTTTAGTTTATTTTGTTTAAAAACCTTCGACCGCCTCAGTCATTTTCAAGAACCCTATGTTGTACGTGTGGTAGTAAAGTTGAATATTCCTGGTATTCTTTAGGAGGCTGATATTTTCAAATAGTCTATGGTGATGTCATGTGTAACGGTTAAGGGGAGAGAGACCGAATTAAAATGAAAGTTTTTTTTTAAAATTTTTTATACACATGATTAATATTTCATATACACTTCAATATACCATCTGCTGTCGTAAAATATATTTAATTCAAGTTATTCTTTTGTATAATAATATTTTCTAGGATTCTGAGTCCTTGCTTGCATTGATTGCTGTATATTATTTTGATATTATCCACTAATAATTGTCTTAATTTTTATAATTGTATTTTGGCTGTTCATGATGTGCTGCTCGCTGTGTACACGAATTGCATTGAGTTTCAACAGGTAACAAATCAATCTACAAGACAGTGTGGTGTATTTGTGCCTTATGTAAGAATTTAATAATGTTATGTTTATTGTTCATATTACATGTGCAGTCTTCAACATGCATATGAATTTATAAACGACATTATTTTTACATGGGTTGGGTGTGAGAATAATGTCTGCCAAAGAAAACATTATCTAGGCCCAGTAAATCATGTTTTTATAACAACTATTTTATATCAGTATGAACATTCACCTTTATACTTAAGGAGACGCGAGTTTCGATCCCAATATGCAACATCATATTAGATTGTACCTTTTTTTTAAGATAATAACGGTTGAATAATAAAAGTCTTACCAAATCCACTTCTTTTCCTGCCATGGTGATAAGTGGTGGATTCATGCCTTGCACAAGTATATTTGCACATAAGTGAATATAACAAACCCAACTGGAATTGGAACTCAGCTCTGTGATTGACAATTCAAAGTCATTATCCATTACACCACCTGTACATCCAAGCTAACAGCACTTAGTATTCCCAAGCGGTCACCCACTTAGGTACGGACCAGGTCTGACATTGCTTAACTTCGGTGATCATACTGGAATCGGTGTTTCAAAAAGATGTCGCCTTAAGCCAATCGTAGAAAAGATAGAATCAAGCCAAAACTTTAATGCGGTAAGAATAAATTCTTTCTCAGTTTCTGGGATGAGGAGTTATTATTTACACTGCTTATATTTGGACTAAAGTCCTCATCTTTGTTGTTATAATTACAATGCATCAACTATTTTGCTCTTCAGCCTTCCTCAAGTATATAATAATCTGAGTAACCTACATGGAGTTCTGAACTGAACACTTTATTTAATCAACGGGCTAGAATGTTCTGATTCCACTGCCAAGGTCTGTGGATATCGTCCAGTTCTTATTTTTAGTTCTGCTCAGTTATTTCTCGCCCGTTTCCACTAAGTCACCCAATTTCTACGGGATAATGGTCTAGTGGATTTTTGCTTTGGTTCGTGAATTTTGTGACATAGTGATTGTGAGTTCAGTCTCTGGGCCAGGCAGTGGAAACAGTGCGAGCAATAACTGAGCAGTACTGAAAATAGGAACTACACAAGATATCCCTAGACATGGTCAGTGAAACGAGAACAATCTACTTCAGTAGAATAAATGGTTCCGCTCAGAGTTCCCAGTAGATTACCCAAACCAGCGTCCGAAACGTTGTGACGATAGCAACAAAGATGCGGATAATATAGTGTAAATATCAGTATTAATAGTTCCGGCTTTGTTGATGTTCATGTGAAAAACAAACAAAAACAAAATTTTGTATATCCCTGTATACGAATGAATATTGTAGAACTACATTTCTAGGCGGAATATAATGTTTCTCTGTATGAGTAATCGAACGTGTTTGAAAGCACCGTTTCTTTTTTTTCTTTTTTAAAAGATTATGGTCTGATTCAAGGACACATGGCACAGTGGATAAAGGCGTTGGTTAGATCCAGTGCCAGGACCCATAGAGTGTGAGTTCAATACACGGTTAGGGCAGTGGAGAACTTTCAGAGGGAAATTAACAGAAGATCCATCAAACATGGTACGTGGAACTAGAACAGTCTACCCCAGTGAGCGAAATAAAGGGTTCAGTTCGACATTCCAACCACCTGAAGAAGGCCGGACCGTACATCGGCCGAAACGTTGTGATAAATATGGCGATAATGGTGAGGACAATAGTCCGAATAATGTATATAATGTAAAATGATTAGGGATTAAACGCTTTTTATCTAATACAAATTTCTGGAAACGTTGGTACACAACTAATAGTTTAATTAATTTGAAACTCGTGCATGACACGATAGATCGGTAACAATTATTATCTTCATACATTGAAAATAATCATTAATTACACTATATTTCCACGTATAAGTCGACCTATAGATGAGACAAAATCTAAAATTGTGGTACATTTTTGTGATTTTTATCTAATATCTGTAGTATAAGACGATCGACTTGAAACCATATGACGAAACTGTAAATAACGATTTTTATGATGAACTGTTTGCATCAGATGGTGATTATCATACTAATTTTGAAGGGTTTTAATTAAGTATATTGGTGTCTTGTGTTTTGTATAAAGTCTTGTGCTTTTTTTGATGCTTAATATGCAAAAATGTTATTGGCCTGTAAAGTTTTTATGTTATACTAAATACACAATGATAATGAATTTTACTTAGAAATATAGATTGTATGTTATCCTAAACGTTATTTGACACTTTCATGAGAAATAATGATTGCTGTAAACGCAACCATAGATCTATAAGTCAAGAACGAAAGATTTGTTTATTTTACTTGTTACTTGTACGTTTTGCTCAGCTGAACTTTTGCAAATTGTGTAATCGTCTCTTGAATATTGCATTTTAATGTGAAATCAAGAAGTAAAGGTAGTTTTATTACATTTATAATGTGAATTATTTCTATGGGAAATATTTATATCAGTATTTACCATACCGAGGTAGTCGTAAACATAATGCGATCCATGGCGCAAACATACTAGCCGACTTACCAGTGCCAATACACCACAGGATTTAAGGTTAGCTTTTTATAATTGTTTTATTAGACGACCCCCTATTTTTTTTTTTTTTGATGGGGGTAATTTTCAAGATTTAGAGGTCGATATATACGCGAAAATATAAGATATTTTAAATTACATTACTGGAATATTATATCATATTTAAATTGAATAAATGATTAAACCCCTGTCATAGTCTTGCAATGGGGGGTACAAACTAATTATTTTTGCCACCTGGACACGTCAGGTGGTTATACAATATTGATTCTTTCTAAACGCTGAATGGCTTAATCTTCACTTCTTTGTCAGAACCATAGCATCTTAGTTTTCAAACTTGACTTGGGCCACGTCTTATATTTGTAGAATTGTGAGTAGATACGGTGGCTTCGCGCTTTTCTTAAAATATGGCACTCCTACAAAAGATAGAATCCGGCGAAAACTTTTGTGCGAATACAAAATATTGTATATACTCGTTTACAAATGGAGAATTAAAGGCTGATCTATATATGAATTATCTGAGTTGGGGATGTAGCAATACGAGTCAGTTGAGGTCTTCTTAAATTCAAAACATTGGGACCTGTTGCAAATGTGGGCACGGGACATTTACTTTCGATTGATGGTTACCAATAAGGGAAGTCAACTACAAAATACAGCGCAAGAGGCTCAGACAGAGAGAAAGTCACGGAAAGAAGATTAATTACTTTTTAGACGATGATGACATGACATCATCCCGCGAAAAGGCACACAAATTGAACGAAGCGAGCCTCGCAGAACGGACAGGGAAGACGGCCGCTGAATTGTAACCTCCTCGCCTACGCCTCATCTCTATTTCACTCGCTTATACTAGTAATTTATATAATATATATATATATATACATACATACATACATACATAAATAATATATATACATATATATATATATATAAATATATATGATGATATATAGTTTTACGTTATGCTTATCTATAGGTATATATATATATATATATATATATATATATATATATATATGTAAGCAAATATATGGATATAAATCTGAGTATGAAGAAAAATATATATAAACAAGAACAACAATTATGTTGTTTTAATGTTAATATGTCAAGCGTATTCCTTTTTCGGTCTAAATTCAGGACATATTCATAAATTATAACATTATCAATACAACATGACAGTCTTGTTCTTATGTACATCGTCTTTGTCATGTTGTATTGATAATGCTATAATTTATGAATATGTCCGGAAGATGGTTTATTAGACCGAAACGTCCGACGTTGACATATTAAGATTAAAACAGCATAATTGTATATAAGGATTTTTGTTTGTTTTTTCCGTATATATTTTTCTTCGTATATACATATATATATATGTTAAGAAATGGACAAGGTCCGACAATTTATTTATTAAAGACATTTTTATGTTTAACGTTGTTATTTATAGATACAAGTATTTAAGCAAATGCTCTGTTTATGATATGTTTCTTTGTGGCCGAGACGGTTAAGGCACGTCAGCGTATATGACGGTTCCGTATAGGATCCTGTCAAAGAACGAATATTTTCTATGAAAATTTCTCGGACATTCAGGCCGGTAAATGTTATTTAATACTGTTTATCATAAACAGAGCATTTGCTTAAATACTTTTATCTATAAATAACAACGTTAAACATAAAATGTCTTTTATATATATATATATATATATATATATATATATATATATGTATATACAGAGAGTGAGAGAGAGAGATGCAAAAATGAGAGTGGCTTGAAGATATATCAAAGTCGGATGAAATGCGTGTTCAGGATGGAAACCAAGAGCAACATGGGGGTACAGACCCTGGTAAAACGGAGGAAGGGCGGGTCCAGTATTCATACCACAGAGGCCAGTCTCTCCAAGCTACAGTTCCTCTCACTCAGGACACAGAGTCTCGTGGGTAACAATCTGGCTGAAGGGTATTTTTTTAAGCCACCAGTGTTTGACTGGAAGAAACTGCACGCTGTCAAAAAAACTTGGTGTATGGTCTGAGTTGCAATACAATATGAGCAAATGTTCTTAGTACACATTATTTTTTTTTAAACTAAAGACCTACTAATAAAAAAGAAACTGGTTTTATTGAATAGAAAAAACGGAAACTTCGTTACACATTTAATAATATCATTAAGTGGAAAACCTTACTATTTGCTTGAGAAAATAACATTATTGCTTAATTATTTAAAATTACATTAACGGAATATTGTGCCCTAAATGATTTGAATAAATGAACGAAAACCTGTCAAGGTTGGCAATGGGGATAGAAGCTATATATTGATACTACAGACTCTTATAGAAAATTGGTGTCTTTGAGCGCTAACTGGTTTGCATTTCACTTCTCTGTCAGAATCGTGACATACTATGGACAAGACATTTTTAATGATGGATGAAAGCGCAAATTTTGGACGCATGTTTTTATAAGGGAATTTTTTTTAAGTGAACGCAAGTAGCTTCAGCCAGAATTTGAGCCCTGTTTTTTTTTTTTAAAAAACCCATTTAATGTATTTATAACAGTTACATTTCCGCAGCTATAAATATTTCTGTGAACAAATGGATTTTCAGTAAGTGTTTGAGATCCGTATCATATATGAGAAAACATGGGCACCTCAACGTGGTATAAGGGTTATTAAGCCTGTTCCGCTAGAACAATTGCGACTGTGTAGTAAGTTCGGTTCTCACTGGGTGCCCCGTTCTTTCGGTCTCGTGCCACATCGAAGCTACGCTTACAAAAATAACCATGTACTTGAAAACAATCTGTCTCACATATGAGCTATAAGTAGCATATTGGTCTAATAGTCATATAAGTTACAATTTTTTTTTAATCATTTCACCCCAAGTAAGGCAAAAAAGCCACTAGGACGCAAGTGGTTACTGGGTGTTAGAGAATATGAGAAAAACCACTGTTACGGAGAGAGGACAATAAAAGAACACGAATTAGGAGGGCTGAATATAACGATTGACATTGCATTTAAATTTTTGAAGATCAAAGTTGACTGGGAAGCAAGAAGGCGAAAGAGAGTTCCACCA